TAGTAGCGAGGCCAGGAGCCCCCAGTAGCGTCCTTGCTCCTAGTAGCAAGGCCAGGAGCCCCTAGTAGCGTCCTTGCTCCTACCCCCATGCTGTTTGGAGAGCCCGGCCCATGCTCCAGATTCATGGAGCTGAAACTTGTGCACGAAAACATCTCGGCCAAACAGCTGCATCGTCTCCTGTGCACGTCGGAGCTGCGGAGAGTTCCGAACAAACGAACGTGATGGCCCAACGGTCTAGGAGGGTGTAAACGATGGTGATGAACATCCGATTGATGTGATCAAGAGATGGGGAACAGAAAGCAAAAACATGCTGCAAAAGTTTGTTGTATCTCTGCTGTCCCTCTTCGCAGTCACTGCAGTCATGCTTGTTCACTGTTTTGCTGCTCCAAACCGTAATTCTGAACGTTTTCCTTTCTTAAGTTTTTTGGTTCTCACTTTCACCCTTCATTTTCGAAGCCAATTCCCTTGTGTTTATTCTTTCATACCCTTCCCCCCTGTCATTGCAGTCGATGAAGCCGAAGCCTTTGGAGTCGCTGAAGGACCGAATCTTCCCTCTGTACCTGCGAACACCGACGCTCTGCTACGCTGGACCGAGCACTTGCCTTGGAATTGCTCTGGGGGGGAGGTGGACGAGAGGTGAAAGGTAGCCAGTAGTCACTGGTCTGCCTCTCTGTCGCAGAAGCTACTAGATGCTACTAGTAACAAGTGCATCCCTACTAGTAACAAGGGCATTACTATTTGTAACCAGAAGGTGCTAGTAGTTGTTTGCTACCAGTAGTAATGCACTTGTTACTAGGAAAAGAACGCGCCCCGCAGAGAGGATGCTTTCGCAAATGATTGAGATTGGTCTTGGATGATTGTAGTTTGCGCAGACTTAACCAGCCACTCAAAGATTCTCAACGACAAGGCCCAATTTGCTCTCGGAAACGCAATCCTTTGGTAGGTTGCAGGCCATCTCTCTTAGGTTGGAGGCCATCCTAGTAGGTTGGAGGCCATCGCTCTTAGGTTGGAGGCCATCCCTAGTAGGTTGGAGGCCATCACTCTTAGGTTGGAGGCCATCCCTAGTAGGTTGGAGGCCATC